TTAGCAAAAGGTTTATGTTTGTCTTGGGCAAGCCCTGTCATTGTTTTTGTGCATCTAGGTTAACATATCGTTGAAATAAGCCTTAACTACCCTCAAGAAAGCACATAATCTTGTTAACTATCCTGTACCAATCCCTGCCTTGCTTTCTCCCACTTCCATGTAACAGTCCTCATGTTCCCTCTAATTCTAAATGCATAAAGTAAACTGCAAAACTGTCGTTCTCTGGAGCATTTGAGATATTGCTTCCCAGCAACTGTCATCAGTTTTGGCTCAAATAAATTCTTACAAAAATTCTCTGTAGGGTTAGACATTCTTAAGTCAACATGTATTACGGCTCCCTGGCAAGCAAGGGGGGCGGCTAGGAGCTTCAATAATAATTAACTGAGTTCCAGGGAAGCAACTTGCTGATCTCTTTCCACACGAGTCTCTTCTAAACATGCTCAGAAGGAAAGCTAGTTGGACTTCTCCCTCAGCAGCAGCCACACCTCCAGATGCCATGTTAGGTAAAGTTAGCGTATACAGTCATGTTGCAACAAAACAGTGCCCACTGTTTTCTACCAAAGAACAGATCTTCCGAAGCTCACAGCTGTATGTATCTTGTGTTTGAGATTCTCAATGTCCATTTCTCTCATCCATTTACCTTTGTCTAACAAGTCGGACTGTGGACATTCCTGGTTCCCATGACTGCAAAGGATCAACCTCGTTTCCGAGCCTCCTCTCATTTGTACTATTGCTTTTCTTCCTCGTGCCTGATTTCCCGTTACCCTAACAACAGCCTCCCGCGTGCTCCATGGACACCAAGCCTACACATCCAATGCTCCGTTTTCCTTCCTCTCAGGAATCTCCATTCTTTGCTTTCAAGCAGCAGATAACACACCTTTTCAAGTGGAAAGCCTGATGCCCTGACTGACATGCGGACAGGGTCTAGTGTTATTCTACTTTGTACTGTGTATAATGATCTGGACAGAGCAGAAGGCAAATTTCTTGTAAACAAAGAACTCAAAGAACCTGATCATTTCCTTAACCCTTTTTATCCAGACTCTGTAGGATATTGTAGAAAAACTTTTCTCCAGCCTGACATCTAGACTCAGCATATAGTGAGAGATGGTATAATGGTACACACAGGAGAGCATTTTCTGACCTTATTCTCAGATGAAAACAACACAGGTTTAAGCACAGACCAATGTACATATCTGAAGGGCAAATTTCACTTGGCCTATCTCTTAGCAGATTTTCCCTATAATGTTTCTGAGTATGATCTGATGCGTTGGACATATACTGGACATATATGTAGAAGCATGTTGAGTTGGCTTGGCCACTGGAATGCAATACAGTTGACCCTTAAACAATGTGGGGATTAGGGGCACTGACACCCCCACCCCTGGCCACAGTAAAATATCCATATATAACTTCTCCGTAGCCATCCTCTGTATCCACGCAGCAGTGGTTCTAGGACCCTCCCCCATCATGGATACTAAAATCTGCAGATGCTCAAGTCCCTTATATATAACTAGAGGCCTGATGCACGAAAATTTGTGCAAGAGCAGGCCTTCCTTTCCCCGGCTGCCGGCACCAGCTTCCCTCCAGCACCCGGGACCCGGGCTTCGCTCTGGCCCCAGCTTCGTCCAGAAGGATGTCCGGAAGGGCATCCAGTCTAATTAGCATATTACCCTTTTATTATTATAGATTGATTTTACAGAGAAGAAGGGGGGGAAGGGGAGAGGGAGAGGGAGGGAGGGAGGGGGGGAGAGAGGGAGAGAGAGAGAGAGAGAGAGAGAGAGAAACATCGATCAGTTGCCTCCTGCATGCACATTGTTTACTTATTGTAAACAGGGGATTGAACCCAACACCTTTTGGTGTACAAGACGATGCTCCAACCAACTGAGCCACACCTGCCAAAGCCAAAAATACTGTTCTGATTCACGGTTGGCTGAATCCATGGCTGTGAAACCCAGGGATCTGGAGGGCCAACTGTATATTTATTGGGGAAAAAATCGACATATAAGAGGACTGGCACAGTTCAAAACCGTGTTGTTCAAGGGTCAACTGTCAGCAGAGCCAGGATTCTAGCCCCTCTTATTCCTGTTGGGACTTAGGAAATCCTTGGGGGCCTGTTGGGGAGTGGGCTGAGCCTACAGGCTGGACCATACCAGGGGCCTGAGTGGAAGCCTGAACTGCAGGACCATCACCAGCTGCCTGAGCTCTTGCAGATGAGCTGCAGTTGCATCGCAGACACGACCTTTTGCAAAGGGAAGCAAAACCGCTTGACTTAGTAAACAATGTTCTCACCGTCACTTTAAAAGAAAATTTCTCTCCAGGGGCACCTGAGACTTGCAGAGGCAGTTAGCTCACTTGGGTGGAATGCCTGATTCGTGGCCAGAACCCTCACTTCAATTACAGAGGCAGCTGATTTTCAAGGAAAAGTTTATTCTACACAAGGGTATTCTGAATGGCGAGTAAACAGCAGAATAGGAAATGAGGATTTTTTTTAGCTTGTTTTGCACAGCATCTGTGAAAAGATGGCTAACATAAGTGTTTTTGTGTGATAATCAAGAGTGGTTAAGTTTTTGAGGGCAACTTAGCATCCTTAGGCCTT